ATATATATATATATATATATATATATATATATAATATATATATATATATATAATAGTTTCGAGTCTGTGCCCGGGCAGAGGGCGGAGTTTGAATCGGTCTTTGGCCTTGATATAACGTATGTATATGTAATTGCTGTCGTTTCCCGTTTTCTTCTCTTCCCCCTCTCCTCTCTCCCCTCCCTCCCAACTTCCATCCTCCCCCTTCCCTTCCACTCTCCTACTTCCCCTTCCCCCCCCCTCCCCCAACACAAACTGTGCGTGTCACTTGCTGTTTATATCACTGATTATTATCGATATTTATTCTCGTCTGAGTCTCTGGAGGGGGGAGGGAGGTGTGAGGGGGAGGGAGGTGTGAGGGGGAGGGGGAGATGGCAGGCAGAAAGGGTAAAGTGGAGGGGGGGCGGGTGAGGGTCACGTTAGAGGTGGAGGGGAGAGGAAGACAGGTAGTGAGGGGTGGGGGATTAAGAGGGGTAGTACAGAGAGGTAAGGGAGGGGAAATTGACTTAAGTCTTCTCCCCCTCCCCCTCTCTCCCCTCTACATATAACCCCTCATCCTTGCTCTCTCTCTCTCTCCCCTCCTCCTCCACACCTCTCCCACAACATACTCCTTGTCCACACAGTGTGTCAAACAGTATACTGACACACTGTGGGTGTTCCCACAGTGTAACTATCACACAGTGTACTCACAACACCTGTGAGGAATTACAGTATAGATATAAGAAGGACTGGTGGTGGGTACTCATCTTTCTGGCTGACAGATGAAGACGCCAGCAGCCTCCCACTGGTCTCTCCTTCCATACTGTCAGCATAGTTCCCACTGGCCTGTAATAAAGTGGGTATAATTAGCACCTCCTCCTAACATACTGTAACACTACACGTAGTTTGTGATACCAAGTGATGCTGCGCCTCTTACCAGCGTCTGGGAGATGGTTTCTCACGGCTGGGATGCTTAGCGCCCTTACTCACCTACCATCTACCCTAGGCACTGCAGTGATTATAGGCACCTGCTATCACTGTTCACCTAGCAGTAAATTAGGTACCTGGGTGTTAGTTGACTCGTGTGGGTCGCATCCTGGGTACAAAATTGACCTAATTTGTGGGAAATGCTCTGTATAATAAGTGACTTTCTATATAGTAGTATGTCATTGATGTCAGCTATGGTCTGTATATGTTTTATCATGTATATTATATAATGAATAGTGAGTTACCAGGCTGTTTGTAGTGGCAGATCTTGATGTTACTACGTGGTTGATGGCAGTATTGATGTTACTACGTGGTTGATGGCAGTATTGATGTTACTACGTGGTTGAGGGCAGTATAGATGTCACTACGTGGTTGATGGCAGTATTGATGTCACTACGTGGTTGATGGCAGTATTGATGTTACTACGTGGTTGATGGCAGTATTGATGTTACTACGTGGTTGATGGCAGTATTGATGTTACTACGTGGGTTGATGGCAGTATGATGTCACTACGTGGTTGATGGCAGTATTGATGTTACTACGTGGTTGATGGCAGTATTGATGTCACTACGTGGTTGATGGCAGTATTGATGTTACTACGTGGTTGATGGCAGTATTGATGTCACTACGTGGTTGATGGCAGTATTGATGTTACTACGTGGTTGAAGGAAGTATTGATGTCACTACGTGGTTGATGGCAGTATTGATGTCACTACGTGGTTCATGGCAGTATTGATGTCACTACGTGGTTGAGGGCAGTATAGATGTCACTACGTGGTTGATGGCAGTATTGATGTCACTACGTAGTTGATGGCAGTATTGATGTCACTACGTGATTGATGGCAGTATTGATGCCACTACGTGGTTGATGGCAGTATTGATATCACTAAGTGGCTGATGGCAGTATTGATGTCACTACGTGATTGATGGCAGTAATGATGTCACTAGGTGGTTGATGGCAGTATTGATGTCACTACGTGGTTACCTGGAGGTTACCTGGAGGTTATTCCGGGGATCAACGCCCCCGCGGCCCGGTCCACGACCAGGCCTCCCGATGGATCAGGGCCTGATCAACTAGGCTGTTACTGCTGGCCGCACGCAGTCCGACGTACGAGCCACAGCCCGGCTGATCCGGCACCGACGTTAGGTATCTGTCCAGCTCTCTCTTGAAGGCAGCCAGGGGTCTTGAAGACAGCCAGGGGTCTTGAAGCCAGCCAGGGGTCTTGAAGGCAGCCAGGGGTTTATTGGCAATTCCCCTAATGCTTGATGGGAGGCTGTTGAACAGTTTTGGGCCCCGGACACTTATGGTGTTTTCTCTTAGTGTACCAATGGCGCCCCTACTTTTTATTGGCGGCATTTTGCATCGCCTGCCAAGTCTTTTACTTTCGTAGGGAGTGATTTCTGTGTGCAGATTTGGGACCATTCCTTCCAAGATTTTCCAAGTGTAGATTATGATATATCTCTCCCTCCTGCGTTCCAACGAGTACAAGTCAAGTGCTTCCAAGCGTTCCCAGTAGTTAAGGTGCTTGACAGAACTATATACGTGCAGTAAAGGATCTCTGTACACTCTCTAGATCTGCGATTTCACCTGCTTTTGTATGGAGATGTTAATGTACAGCAGTATTCCAGCCTAGAGAGAACAAGTGATTTGAAAAGGATCATCATGGGCTTGGCATCTCTCGTTTTGAAAGTTCTCATTATCCATCCTATCATTTTTTTGCACGTGCGATCGTGGCACTGTTGTGATCCTTGAAAGTGAGATCCTCAGACATTACTACTCCCAGGTCCCTTACATTATTTTTCCGCTCTATTGTATGGCCGGAGTCAGTAGTATACTCTGTTCTAGTTATTATCTCCTCCAGTTTTCCATAACGAGATAGTTGGAATTTGTCCCATTGAACATCATATTGTTTACCGTTGCCCACGGGAAAAAATTGTTTTTATCTGCTTGGGGTTAACCGCGTCCTCAGCAGTTTAACAGCCTCATCAGTCCTAGTATCATCCGAAAAGGATGATTTGAGGGCAGTATTTAGTCACTACGTGATTAAAAGGGCAGAAATTGATGTCACAAACGTTTGAGGGCCCAGTCCTGAGCACTAGTGATTGAAGGCATATTTGTGTATCCTGGTTTGAGGCGGGAAAATGATGCCCAAAAGGGGTTGATGGCGTATTGAGTCATTTACGGGGTTTGAGGGCCCAAATTTTTTTTAAAAATTTGTCCCCTTCGGGGGTTGGGGCCCCATTTTGGGTCCCCCCGGGTGGGGGGGGGCATTTATTGATGTCACTACGGGGGTTGATGGCAGTTTTAGATGTAAACTTACGGGGGTTGGGAATGGCTTTAGAGTCACTACGGGGGTTGATGGCAGTATTGATGTCACTATTGGTTGGGGCAGTAAGAGGGTCATTTACGGGGTTTGGGATGGCTATTAAATGTCACTACGGGGTTATGGCGGTATTGATGTCACTACTTGGTTGATGGCCCATATTATGTCACAAGGGTTTAAATGGCATTATAATGTCACTACGGGGTTTTTGATGGCGGGTATTGATGTCACTACGTGGTTGATGGAAAGTATAGGTCACTACGTTGGTTGTTGGCAGTATTATTTTTCACTCCCGGGGGTTGAGGGCAGTATAGATGTCACTACGGGTTGATGGCTTTTGGGTTTCCCCTACGGGGTTGAGGGCATATTGATGTCACTACTTTGGTTGATGGCAGTATTGATGTCACAAACGTGGTTAGGGCCCGGATTGATGCCCCCTACGTAGTTGATGGCAGTTTTGTTTGTCATCTGGTTGAGGGCAGAAAAGATGCACTACTTGGTTGATGGCGGGTTTTGATGTCAAACGGGGTTGAGGGGCTTTTTTGATGCCACTACGGGTTTTGGGGGGGCCCATATTGATTCACTAACTGGTTGATGACAGTTTTTGATGTCACTACTTTTTTTGAGGGGTTATTGTTTGCCACTACGGGGTTGTTTGGAAAGTTTTGATGTCACTAGTGGTTGATGGAAATTGAGTCACACTGGTTGTTCGGGAAGGGATCCATTTACTGGTTGATGGCATATTAAATTTTCACTACGGGGTTGAGGGCCCAGTATTGATGTCCACTACGGGGTTTTGGGGGCAGAAATTGATGCAATAGTGGTTGAGGGCATTTTTTGATGCCCCACTACGGGGTTGGGGCAGTTTTGATGTCCCCTACGTGGTTGGGGGCATTTATTAAATTGCCACTACTTTGGTTAAAGGCAGTATTGATGTCACAAAGTGGTTGTTGGGCCCTATTGTTTTCACTACGGGGGTTGATGGCATTTTGAGGGCCATACGGGGTTTGAGGGCCCAGTATTGATGTCCACTGGGTGGCAGTTTTTGGAGTTACTACGGGGTTTGGGAGGGCAGTATTGATTCACAAGTGGTTGATGGCAGTTTTTGATCCCCAATTTCGGGGTTGAGGGCATTTTTTTGGATGTCACTAGGGGTTTAGGGTTTTAAAATTATTGATTTTTGGAAAATTTTCCCCTGACTCCCTGTTTTTGCTTCAATTAAGGACATTTGGAACCCTTCAACCCCGGGGGGAAATCAACCAAACCGAAGGTTCCCCAATTTTGGGGGAACAAACACCGGGTAATGTAACATCGGGAATTATTTTTGCGGGAAAAACCGGGTTAAACAACCCAGGTCCCTATTTTAACCCCGGGTAACATAAAAAGCAGGTGTAAGGTGATTTAACTTTCCAGGTACCAAATTATTCAAGGTGAAATAACGAAATTTAAGGTGACTAAACCCGGGTTTCCTACTTATTGCTAGGTAAACCCCAAACAGCGGGTGTAAGGTGAAAACCCATCCGGGTCCCTATTTAAATTCTGGGTTTGAAAATAACAGAAGGTGTAAGGTGACAACACCAAAGGTACCTACTTTTTCTGGGGTGAAAAGACAGAAATTTGTAAGGTGACTAAACCCCGGTACCCCCCTTATTGCGGGTGAAAAATAACAGCGGGTTTGGAAGGTAAACTAACACCCATCCCTACAAAAATTGCCTAGGTAAACCCAGGAAAAGAAGGTGAAAGGTGACTAATTTCCGGGTACCTACTTATTTTGCAAGGGGGAACGGGGGACGGGCAGGTGAAAAGGTGACTAACACCCAGTCCCAAAATTTATTGCTAGGTGAACATAGACAGCAGGAAAAAGGGTTGCCCTAAACCAGGAAAACCTTTCTTAGCTAGGTGAAAATGCCGGCAGGTGAAAGGGTGATTAACACCCAGGTACCAAATTTTTGTAGGTGAACATAAAAAGCGGGTGAAAGGTGACCCCCCACCCAGGTTTTAACCACTTATTGCTAGGTAAAAATGGGGACAGCAGGTGTAAGGTGACAACACCCGGAAACCTTTTTAAAGGGCTGGGTTTAAAACATAGACAGGGGTTGAAAGGGTGACAAACCACCCCGGGAACCTTTTTTTTGGCTAGGTAACAAACAGCGGGTTTTTAAGGGTTACAAACCCCCCCGGGTTAATATTTAAAAGCTAGGTGAACATAGACACCCGGTTTTGAAAGGTGATTTAACACCCAAGGTACCATTTTTTGCTAGGTGAAAAAAACGGGCAGGTAAAAGGGTTGACTAAAAACCCAGGTACCTATTTAAATTGCTAGGAAAAGACAGGGTTTTAAGGGGACAAAACACCATTTTAATATTTTAATTGCTAGAAGAACAGACGGGCGGGTAAAAAGGTGATAACACCCGGGTACCTACTTACTCTCGTAAACCTTAGACAGCAGATTTTTAAAAAACCACGGGGTTTAAATGTTCCCCCCGTCCGGGGGGTGGAAACCCACGGCCCTCCCCCCGTGTGGGGGTAAGTGCGTTTCCAAACCCCACCCAGGGGAAAACACAATCCCGTATGATTGTCTTAACAAATATTTTTTTTTAATTTTGACTTACTTTTTTGGTGGGGAATACTTTTTAAAACCATATATCTCTTAACAAATGGTTTTTATTAGGGGTTAAAAATTACACCAAACCAGTACACTATTAATAATAATAATAATAATAATAAAAAATAATATTAATAATAAAAATAATAATAATAATAAAAATTAACGAAGGAAAAAAGAAAAAAACAAAATGAACATCGTAGAGAAAAAAAGGGAAGGGAAACAAATGAAAAAAAGGAAGAAAAAAAGGGAAAAACTTTTGAGGCCCCTTGGGGGGGGGAAATGGGGGGAAAAAAAATAAATGTTTACAATTTTTCCCCCCGCCAAACCGGGGGGAAAAATCGTTTTTCTAAAGAAAAATAATCTTTTGGGGTTCCTCGGAGGAGGGGTGGTGGGGGTGGGGGTGTTGGGGTGGTGGGTGGTGGTGGGGGGTTTGGTGGGGGGGTGGGGGTTGGTGGGGGGGGGGGGGTTTGGGGGGGTGGTGGTGGTGGGTGGGGGGTGGGGGTGGTGGGGGGTGGTGGGGGTGGTGGTTTGGGGTGGGGGGGTGGTGGTGGGGGTTTGGGTGGGGGTGGTGGGTGGTTGGTGGTGGGGGGGTTTTGGGGAAGTGGGGTGGTGGTTGGTGGTGGGGGTGGGGGGGGTGTGGGGGGGGTGGGGGTTGGGGGTGGGGGGGGGGAGGGTGGGGGTTGGGGTGGGGGTTTGGGGGTTTGGGGGGGGGGGTTTGGTTTGTGGTGGGGGGGTGGGGGGGGGGGGTGGGGGTGGTGGTGGTGGTGGTGGTGGGGGTTTGGGGGTGGGGGAAGGGTGGGGGTTTGGGTTTGGGGGGGGTGGGGGGTGGTGGGGGTTGGTGGTGGGGTGGTGGGGGGGTTGGGGGGGGGTGGGGGTTTGGGGGGGTGGTGGTGGTGGGGGGTGGTGGGGTGGTGGTGGTGGGGTGGGGGTTTTTGGGGGTTGTGGGGGTGGTGGTGGTGGGGGTGGGGTTGGTGGTGGTTGGTGGTGGTGGGTGGGGGGGGTGGGGGTGGTGGTTTTTGGGGGTTGGTGGGGGTGGGTGTGGGGGGTGGTGTGGTGGGGGGTAGTGGGTTTGGGGTTGGGGGGTGGGGGTGGTGGTGGGGGGGGTGGGGGTTGTGGTGGGGTTGGGGGTGGGGGTTTTGGGGTTTTGGGGGGTGGGGGGTGGGGGGGGGGGGGTGGTGGGGTTGGGGGGTTGGGGTTTTTGGTGGGGGTGGGGGGGGGGGTTGGGGTTGGGGGGTGGGGGTTGGGGGGGGTGGGGGGGGGTTGGTGGGTGGGTGGGGGTGGGGGGTGGGGGGGGTGGGGGGGTTGGGGTTTGGGGGGGGGGGGTGGGGGTGGGGGGTGGGGGTGTGGGGGGGTGTGGGGGGGGGGTTGGGGGGGGTGGGGGGGGGGGGGGGGGGGGTGGGGGGGGGGGGGGGGGGTTTTGGGGGGTGGGGTGGGGTGGGGGGGGTGGGGGGGGGTGGGGTGGGGTGGGGGGGGGGGGGGGGGGGGGTTGGGGGGGGGGGGGGGGGGTTGGGGGGGGGGGGGGGGGGGGGGTTTGGGGGGTGGGGGGGGGGGGGGGTGGGGGTGGGGGGGGGGGGGGTGGGGGGGGGGGGGGTGGTGGGGTGTGTGGGGGGGTTTTGGTGGGGGGGTGGGGGGGGGGGGGGTGGGGTGGGGGGGGGGGGGTTTTTTGGGGGGGGGGGGTGGGGGGTGGGGTTGGGGGGGTGGGGGGGGGGGGGGGGGGGGGGGGGGTGGGGGGGGGTGGGGGGTGGGTAGGTTGGGGGGGGGGGGTTTGGGGGGGGGGGTTTTTGGGGGGGTGGGTGGGGAAGGGTTTGGGGGTGGGGTTTTGGGGGGGGGTGGGTGGGGGGGGGGGGGTGGGGGGGGGGGGGGGTGGGGGGGGGGGGGTGGGGGGGGGGGGGGGGGGGGGGGGGGGGGGGGGGGGGGGGGGGGGGGGGAGGGTGGGGGGGTGGGGGGGGGGGGGTGGGGGGGGGGTGGGGGAGGGGGGGGGGGGGGGGGGGGGGGGGGGGGGTGGGGGGGGTGGTGGGGTGGGGAGTGGTGGTGGGGGGTTTGGGGGTGGGGGGTGGGGGTGGGGGGGTGGGGGTGGGGGGGGAAAGGTGGGGGGTTTTGTGGGTGGTGGGGGGTGGTGGGGTGGGGGGGGTGGGGGGGGGGGGGGGGAGGGGGTGGGTGGGGGTTGGGTGGGGGGGTTGTGGGGGTGGGGGGGGTGGGTGGTGGGGGGGTTGGTGGGGGGTTTTGGGTTGGGGGTTTTGGGGGTGGGGTGGGGGAGGGGGGCTGGGGTTTGGTGGGGGGGGGTTGGGGTGGTGGGGGTTTTTGGGTGGTGGTGGTGGTGGTGTGGGGGGTTGGGGTTGGGAGGGGGGGTGGGGTGGGGGTTTGGCGGGGGTGTGGGGTTGGGGGTGGGGGAGTGGGGTTTGGGAGGTGGTGGTGGGTGGGGGTATAGGGTGGGGGGGTTGGGGAAAGTAGTGAGGTGGGGGGGGTGGGGGTGGTGATGGGGGTTTTAAAGTGGGGGTGGTGGTTTTTTGGTGGGGGGGGTGGTGGGGTGGGATGGGGTTTTGGGTGGGGTTGGGGGGTGGGGGGTGGTGGGGTGGGTGGGGGGTGGTTTTGTGGTGGTGGGGTTTTGGGGGTGGGGGGGTGGGGGTTTGATGGTTGTGGTGGGGGGTGGGGGGGGTTGGGGGAAAGGTATTTGTGGTGGTGGTAGGGTTTTTTTTTGGTAGTGGTGGGGGTTAGGGGGGGTTTGTGGTGGTGGAGTAGTGGTGTGGTGGTGGAGGGGGTGGTGGAGGAAATTGGTGGAGGAAGTGGTAATGGGGGTGGGGTAGAAATTTGGGGGGTAGGGGGGTTTTGGTTGGTGGGAGGGGTTTTTTTGGGGTTGGGGTGGGGTAGGGGTTTTTGGGGGTGGGATGGGGCATGTTTTAAGGGGGTGGGATGTTATTTTACCAGGGTTGAAAATGTTATTTGGGAAGGGGTTGGGGGGTGTTTTGGGTGGGTTAGATGACGGGCCTGCTACCCTAGGGAGATGACGGCACGTCACCCCCAGGGTAAAACTGACGGCACTGTCTATCCTCCAGGGTAGATGACGGCACTGCTATCCACCAGGGTGACTGCGGCACTTCTATCCCCCCAGGGTAGATGACGGCAGTCTATCTTCCGGGGGTAGACTAGGGCATGTCTATCCTACAGGGTAGACGACGGCACTGTCTATCCTCCGGGAGGCTGGCCTGTCATCCTCCCAGGGTGACTGCGGCATGTCTATCCTCCCAGGGTAGACTGACGGCCTGTCTACCCTCCAGGGTAGACTGAGGGACTGTTATCCTCCCGGGGAAAGATGAGGGCATGTTATCCCCCGGGGTAGACTGGGGCACGCTATCTCCCGGGGTAGAGAGGCATGTTATCCTAAGGGGTAGATGAGCACTGTCTTTCCCCCCGGGGAAGCGGGGACGGTGTTATTCCAGCTGGGCATTCTCCCCAAAATGACTGAGGCACTGTCTATCCTCCCGGGGTTTGACTGAGGCACTGTCATCTCCCGGGGTAGACTGGGGACTGTCATCCTCCAGGGTGGGAGGGCCTGTTTTTTCCCCGGAAAGATGAGGCATTCTTCCTACAGTCGACGGGGCATGTCTACCCAAAGGGGGTGTGAGGCACTGTCTATCCTACAGGTAGATTTGGGCACGGTTATCACGGGTAGACTGAGGGCATGCACCCTAGGGTGACTGAGGCACTGTCTATTTCAGGTAGACTGAGGATGTCTATCAAAGGGGTAGGAGGCACGTCTATCCTACGGTACAGCTAAAGGCATTCTATCCTACGAGAAGGACGGAGGCATGTCTATCAAAGGGGGATGATGAGACTGTCTATCCTACGGGAAGATGATGGACGTTATTTTACGGGATAGATGAGGGCACTGTTTTCCCTAGGGGTGCTGAGGGCATGTCTACCTACGGGGAAGACTGATGGCATGTCTATCCAAAAAAAAGGAGGGTTTTTTAGGACTGAGGCACTTCTACCTACAGAAGACGAGGCCTTTTACCCTACGAGATAGACTGGGGCCTGTCTATCTACGAGGATGGACTGTTCATGTCACCCTCAAAGAAAAACGGACCCTGCTATCCTACGAGTACAGCTGAGGGCATGTCTATCTAGGTAGACGGGGGGCACTGTTACCCACGATAGACTAGGCACGTCTATCCTAAGAGGGGACTGATGGCCTGTCAATCTGGAGGATAGACTGAGGCACTGTCTATCCTACGGGAAGATGAGGGCACTGTTTTCTACGAGAAGAGAGGGCACTTGTTTCCACGAGGATGACAAGGGCACTGCTACCCCTAAAGAAAGACTGATGGCACTGTTTATCCTAGAGGATAGATGGGGGCACTGTCTATCCTACCGAATAGACTGGGGCACTGTTATCTACGAGTAGATGGGGCATGTTATCCACGAGGATAACTGGGGGACTGTCTTAGGGAAGGGGATGATGGCACTGTTATCCTTGGGGATGATGAGGGACTGTCTATCCTCCTGATAGACTGAGGGATGTCTACCCTACGGATAGACTGATGGCACTGTTACCCTACGAGGATATTTGGGGGACTGTCTGCCTACGGGTGATGATGGAGTTTCCTGAGGTGGGTGGGGCACGTCTATTTTACAAATAGACTGGGCACTGTTTATCTACGGGGATGGGTGGGGCACGCTTCCTACGGGATAATTGAGGGCACTGTCTTCCTACGGGTAGACTGAGGCACTGTCTATCCTACGAGGATATACCTTCCTTTAGGGCAATGTTTCCCGGGTAGGGGGATTTTTTACTGATGGGGCATGTCTATCCTACGGGGGAAAATTTGGGGGACTGTCTACCCTACGAGGTTTTGGGATTTTGAGGGCACTTTATCCAGGGGGGCAGGTAAAGGGACTGAGGGCATTTATCCTAGAGTAAGGGCTGTGGCTTCGGGGGTTTCTTCCTACGGGATAACTGAGGGCACTGTCATCTACGGGAAGGGGAGGGCACTGTCTATCTAGGGGGTAATGATGGACTGTCTATTACGAGGATAGCTGGGGCCTTCTACTACGGGGGTAGACTGAGGGCACTGTCTACCTACGGGGGTGACTGAGGGCCCTGTTTATCTACGGATAAAATGAAGGCACTGTCTATGTAGGGAAGATGAGGGCATGTTACCCTCGGGGGTAATGAGGGCATGTCTATCCTACGAGGATAGTGGGGGCACGTTTTGTAGAGAAGACTGGGGGCATGTCTATCCTACGAGGTAGACTGAGGGGCATGTCTTCCTACGAGGATATACTGAAGGCACTGTCTATCTAGGGGAAGACTGGGGCCTGTCTTCCTCGGGTTTTAATAAAGGCCTGTTATCCTACGGGGAAGACTGAGGGCCGGCTTCCTACGAGGATTATGGGGGCACTGTCTACCCTACGAGGTTGCTGAGGGCACTGTCTATTTTCGAGGATAATGAGGGCACTGTCTATGCAGGGGAGTACCGACTTTGAGGGATTTTCTATCTCGAGGATGCTAAAGGCACGTCTATCCTACGGGATAGAGTGAGGGGCACTGTTATGTACATAAGTGAGGGCACGTCTATGTAGGGATAGATGGGGCAGTCTTCACGGGATAGATGAGGGCATTTTATGCTACGAGAAGGACTGAGGGCACTGTCTATCCACGAGGATAGAGGGGGCACTGTCTATGTACGGGAAGATGGGGCTGCTTCTACGGGATACTGGGGGCACTGTCTATCTACGAGAAGACTGGGGGGCACGTTACCTCGGGGATATACTGAGGGCATGTCTATGCTAGAGAAACAGATGAGGGCACTTCTATCTACGAGGTAGACTGAGGGCACTGTCTATTCGGGTAATGAGGGCAGTCTTCTACGAGAAACTGAGGCACTGTCTTTTTACGGGAAACTGGGGCACTGTCATCTACGAGAAATGAGGGCACTGTCTACCCTACGAGGATAGATGGGGGCACTGTCTATCCACGAGGATAACTGAGGGCACTGTCTATTACGAGGATAGATGGGGCATGTCTTCTACGAAAGTGGGGGCATGTCATTGGGATAGTGAGGGCCTGTCTATGCTACGAGGATAAAGGGCACTGTCTATGCTACGAGAAAGACTGAGGGCATGTCTATGCTACGAGGAAGAGGGGTGTCTTTTAGAGAAGACTGAGGGCAGCTATCTACGAGGATGACTGGGGCACTTTTTCTATGTTTACGATACAGATGGGGCCTGTCTATTACGAGGATAGATGAGGCACTGTTATCTAAGGATAGTGGGGGCACTGTCTATCTACGAGGATAGATGGGACTGTCACCCTAGGGTGACTGGGGGGCCCGAACCTGCACTCAACGAGAGTAAAAAATTGGGGGATATAAATTGAGGTTTTTAAAATAAAAAAGGGGAATAAAATAAAGGGGATGAAAATAAGACGGTAAAAAATTTTAAACCAAGACAGGACTCACACCAATGGTTTTAAGTTGGAAAATTTAGTTAAAAAGGTATAGGAAAAACGGGTTTGGAAATAGAGTGGAGATGAGTGGAAAAAATCCAGAGTAGGTTATTGAGCTAAACCTGTGTAGTTTAAAAATATAGCTTAGTAAATTTGGGGGGGTGTGAGGGGACCTGATAGCAGGGTGTAGGTGACTTGGACCTGCCTATCATGGGCCAGTAGGTGACTTGGTCGTGCCTAGCATGGGCCAGTAAGTGACTTGGCCCTGTCTAGCATGGGCCAGAAGGTGACTTGGCCCTGACTGGGCCAGTAAGTGACTTGGCCCTGTCTAGCGTGGGCCAGAAGGTGACTTGGTCGTGCCTAGCATGGGCCAGTAAGTGACTTGGTCCTGCCTAGCATGGACCAGAAGGTGACTTTTTCCTGCCTAGCATGGACCAGAAGGTGACTTGGACCTGCCTAACATGGGCTAGTAGGTAACTTGGACCTGCCTAGCATGGGCCAGTAGGTAACTTGGACCTGCCTAGCATGGGCCAGAAGGTGACTTGGCCCTGCCTATCATGGGCCAGTAGGTGACTTGGTCCTGCCTAGCATGGGCCAGACGGTGACCTGAACCTGTCTAGCATGGGCCAGTAGGCCTTCAGCAGTGCTCCTTTCTTCGCATGTTGTTATGATAAAGTATTACCAACACTTTACCTTGACAA